TAGAATAGATTTAGAAAAGAAGATTCTCTAATTCTGTTCTATTCTTTTGCACATTTATAATTCTCACTAGAGGCCCAATGCACGAAATTCGTGCAAGAGTACACCTTCCTTCCCCCAGCTGCCGGCATTGGCTTCCCTCTGGCACCCGGGACCCAGGCTTGCCTTGCAGCCCTGGCTTCATCCTGAAGCACGTCCGGTCTAATTAGCATATCATGCTTTTATTATTATAGATATAAAAAGACACCATCTATAATGGTAACAAAACTGTAAAGTACCTTGGAACGACTTCAACAATAGCTATTTAAAGCGGGTGTGCAGAAAATGACAATTTGATTGGAAAGCATTGAGGTAGAATGTGGGAGCAGCAGCTCACAGACTGGGAGACCAGGCGACTCCCTCGGGCCCCTGACTCCGAGCCCCAGGGAGGGAGCAGCTGTCTGTCCACCTCTTCAGCGGCCCTGCGGTCTCGCCTCTCCACCTCTCCCATGTGCATGTCACCACCCAGCAGAGCACCATTTCTCATAGCCTGACTGGTGTTTCTTGTGGAGGAACCCCCTTTGCACGCTCCTTTCCGTCTTGGCACCCTGCCGCACACCCCGGGGAATGGCGGGCACCTCCCCAGACCCTGGGCCCTCCGTGCTCTGCGCTGCCCGGCGAGGTCCCTCAGTCACAAGAGGCCCTCTCACTTCACAGGAATAAGGAAGGCCTCAGCAATGCCAAAGACATCCTGACCCGCCTGGGAGTGGAGCCGTCCGATGTCGACTGCGTCGCCGTCCAGCACGTGTGCACCATCGTCTCCTTCCGCTCTGCCAACCTGGTGGCTGCGGCGCTGGGCGCCATCTTGAATCGCCTCCGAGATAACAAGGGCATCCCCAGGCTGCGGACCACGGTTGGTGTCGACGGGTCTCTTTACAAGATGCACCCACAGTGAGTCTGCCCTTTGCTGTCATTGGCATCAGTACCCGTCTGGGCTAAGGACCTGCTCCAGAGGTCGGGCTTTTGCACCCAGTAGGAGTTTTTTTTGGCGGATAAGACAATGCCTGGTTCTGGCCAGAAAGGTCAGGGTCGCCCACTTGGAAAGTATCCGGCCCTCAGCCATTTCTCGTTGGTGTTGCTTCTGCCTGGCACTGTCGTCTCTCTCATTCCGTGAGCTTTGTTAGTGATTCCTGTAGCTGCCAGGAACGCCGGGTGGGATGTGTCTGCATCTTCAGTTCTCCTGCTTGTCCTCATGTCATCAGGGACCTTGATCCTCACGGACGCTTGGGTCTTAGGTGCAGCGTCTACATTCCTGATGTAGAAGCTCCTGTGAAAGTCCCGCAGACGTTACCTTTTTAAACGGGCCACGTGCTGACACTTTGCCTCTGAGAGCCAGAGGGAGGTGGAAGTTGGAAGCGGTCCCCACGGAGGATGAGGGCCTCGTCCCCGGGCTGCCTCCTTGTCTGTAGGACGCCTCAGCTTCCACAGCCCTCGGTGGCCACTCAGAACATGGCTTTCCCCTTTTAAAAGGCCAAAGGTGAATTCTCTAAGCCTTTATGCTGAGTTTGAACCATGACTCCCTAGCCCAGTGATGGCGAACCTATGACACTGGTGTGAGAAGCAGCGAACTCATTTTTTTGGTTGATTTTTCTTTGTTAAATGGCATTTAAATATATAAAATAAATATCAAAAATATAAGTCTTTGTTTTACTATGGTTGCAAATATCAAAAAATTTCTATATGTGACACGGCACCAGAGTTAAGTTAGGGTTTTTCAAAATGCTGACACGCCGAGCTCAAAAGGTTCGCCAGCACTGCCCTAGCCCATGACTTCTGTGCGGAATCGCAGGTGCTTTTCCCACGGGACGTGATGTGCAGGTGAAGGGGCCCGCAGGTAGATGCTCACCTTCACACCCAGTTCTAGTGCCAGTGAAGCGGAGGCCGGCTTATACGGAGGGAGGTACGTGGTGCTGGGGATAGGCTTTGAGCAAGTTAGATATTATTACCTGTAGGGTCATTGTTTTACTTCTTTGTATTTTTTGTGCATTTTTGACATTGAAATGAGCCATCTTGGTGGGGATTTGGAGAGGACTTGGGGAGGATTTCTTAGCAAATGTTTAGACAAGCAAGCTTAGAGATTTGCAACGTGAGATTTAAAAAGCTTTTTAAGTTGTAGTAAAAACACATAATATATAACTCACTCTCTTAACCAGTGTTGAGTGTATAGTTCAGCAGCCTGAAGTACAGTCACGCTGTGGAGCTGCTGCCACCAGCCAGCCATCTCCAGAACTCTTCACTTGCAACATCACGTTTAACCAGTGAACTGCCAGGCGTCTGCAATGGGGACCATCCCCGCATGCCCCGCTATTTCAAATTCAATTGCGTCTATAGACGCTTATGGCGTACAGAGGGTTAAAAAATAACTGTGGTTAAGTGTTTCTTATCTTAGAAGGAACATGTATTCGGTCTAGACACTGGAGATAATTACAAAAGTCACACAGAGCACAGAAGTCGTTTTTAACCCCACCCCTGGAGTTGACCCCTGTTAGTTTTCGGGGTTCCCGCTTTCCCGTTTCCTTTGGCAGGCAGCCTTCCCCACTTACAACAGACACAGACTCCGAGGAAGTTCTGTGTCCCAGCGAGTCCTGTCCTCAAGTCCTCTTCTAGCCGCTGAAAATGCCCAGACCCTGGGGCGGGGGAAAGGACCGTGTGGACATAGAAAGCAGGAGTGATCATCCAGCCCTCGTCCTCATGCCAGTCACTGATCTAAGCGTTTCATGAACGCCTTTAGTTCCCGCACATCGCTGGCAGCCAGGCACCGTCATCCTCTGAGCTCCAAGGTCCGGCACAGGCCCGCGATGGGGAAGTGCCGGGGCTCACGCAGGCTCTCTCCCCATGTGACACGCCAGTTCTGGGCTCTGAGCTCTATGCTGCCTCTCCTCTTGTCGTGGCGGAGGACAGAATCCTCTGTGGACCCTGAATTTCCATATCCGATGCTCGTGTAATAATGAGAATCCTCTCCTTGTGTGTGACTATGAGTGATTTTGTCTTTCTTTTCCGCTTGTCCGCGTTTAACTTTTCTACAGTGGGTGTGTCTGACTTGTATAATGAGAAGAGCAAGCGTAGAAAATGGAATTAAAGTGTGAGAAAAAAAGGAGGTACAGGAGGTTCCTGAGACATGGCTCAGTTCAGCTCTTGTGCCCCCTCCACACCCCCCTCCCCTCCAGATATTCTCGACGTTTCCACAAGACCCTGAGGCGCCTGGTGCCCGACTGCGACGTGCGTTTCCTCCTCTCAGAGAGTGGCAGCGGCAAGGGGGCAGCCATGGTGACCGCGGTGGCCTACCGCCTGGCCGAGCAGCACCGGCAGATAGAGGAGACCCTGGCGCACTTCCGCCTCACCAGGGAGATGTTGCTGGAGGTGAAGAAGAGGATGCGGACCGAGATGGAGATGGGGCTGAAGAAGAAGACCAACGATAAGGCCGTGGTGAAGATGCTGCCCTCCTTCGTCCGCAGCACTCCGGATGGGACCGGTGAGGCCTCTGCTGGGGCCCACGTGCCCTCCTGCTTCTCACACCAGTGACCCAGGCACAGTGGGCAGCAGGGTGGTTGGCTTCTCCGGTGGATGCATTGGCACTGGGGTTGCATGGTTTTGGCAAGAGCCAGAAACTCACTCACTCACTTTTTCATTTTTATCGCTGACTTGCCTGTGTGTGACTCAGGGCCGTGGACTTCCCTGGTCGGGCCTCCTGGGCAGGCGCCTTCTCTAAAACCACAGCCTGCTGGGAATTACACAGTGTTCTTCTAAGAACGGAGCTGGGCAAACCTTGCTCCCTGAGATGCTATAGGTTGTCTCACAAACACGGTAAACCGGTAGGATACACACCCACGCACCCCTCCTACGCCCTGATGGTGTGCATGAGGCAGACGGGCCCAGGGATGGTCACACCCAGGCAGATTGAGAGCAGCGGTCAGCCCTTAGCGCTGACCTTGCTGGGTGTCGTCGGAGCTGACCACTGTGGGGACTCCAAAGGGCTTCTTGGGTGGGCCCGTGGAGTAATGAATGCGTGTGACATGAAGATGTCCCACGTGTAAGTTATTTTATATCGTTGCATTGGAAACCACTCTGAACCTAGTGTCTTAACACAGCAACCATTCATTATTGCCTGTGAGTCTGTGGGTCAGCAGTTTATGGTGGCCCATCGGGGCCAGGCTCGCTGATCTTTGCTGGACTCACTCATGTGTCCGCAGTCACTGGTGGGTCAGCTGAGGGGCCTCCCTCACATGTCGAGCAGTTGTTAGCAGCAGCTGGGGTGCAGGAGAGCCTGGCCCCGTGTCTCACCCTCCAGTGGGCCACAGGGCTTGTTCACGTGGTAGCGGCAGGGTCCACAAGGGAGAGGGAAGACTTTGAAGCCTCTTGGAGGCCTGAGCTGGGAGTGGCTCAGCTTGGCTTCTGCCACACTGTTGGCCAAAGCAAGTCATTGGCCAAGCCAGATACCAGGGGAGGAGAAATAGACTCTATCTTTCAATGGGAAGAACTGCAGTCACTTTGCAAAGAAGCATGTGGACAGGGAGGGGAATGATGGTGGCCATGTGTGCAAACACCGTACACACTGACAAATGTTACTAATCTTTGTATGAGGTTTCCCGTAATTAGGTTGTTGCCTGGCTTTTCAGTAACCCTGGTGAAGTTTGTTGTGAAGATTGGTTCCTCTCTGGGGCCTTTTGTCCTTCTAGTGTGGCTCACAGGTTGTGGTGGTCAGTGAGTGAGTGGCCACCCCTCTCTGAGCCTGAGCTGTGTCCTGGAAGAGAGACTTGTAGCTTCTCCCCTTTATTTAGTACTAGAGGCCTGGTGCACAAAAATTTGCGCACTCAGGAGGGTCCCTCAGCCTGGCCTGTGCCCTCTCGCAGTCTGGGACCCCTCGGGGAATGACCACCTGCTGGCTTAGGCCAGCTCCCTGGGGGATTGGGCCTAAGCTGGCAGTCAGACATCTCTCTGGCAGCCCGGGAGCCCTCGAGGGATGTCCACTTGCCAGCAGGGAGCAGACCTAAGCTGCAGTCGGACATCCTTAGTGCTGCTGAGGAGGCTGGAGAGGCTCCCACCACCACCGCTGTGCTGGTAGCCATCAGCCTGGCTTGTGGCTGAGCAGAGCTCCCCATGTGGGAGCGCCCTGACCACCAGAGGGCAGCTCCTGCATTGAGTGTCTGCCCTCTGGTGGTCAGTGTGTGTCATAGTGAACAGTGATTCCCAGTCGTTCTGCTGTTAGGGTCATTTGCATATTACCCTTTTATTATAGAGGATAGAGGCCTGGTGCATGGGTCGGGGCTGGCTGGGTTGCCTGC